ACATTTCACAATCTCTGAAAACTATGTAGATATTTAAGATTGAGAACAAGGTGTACATTCTTTAACAGAAAGGGGTGTGAAGGTCTGGAACAAGCTGCCCAGCCATGTTGTTAGTGTTGATACCCGTATTCTTTAATAGGAATAAATTAGCTGCTAATTATCAAACAGATGAATATAGATATGAAACTCAAGTATTCAGAATCCTCAGAAGAATTGACAAAGTCAACCCAAAGACCACAAAACTTTTACAGAATTAAACACAAACCAGAGAACACAAGTGGAACCTGCTTAATATAAGTTTATTGAAAACCAAGAACAGGAGGCACCTTTTCCACATTGTGGGAGTCTAATAAGACTTTCATGAAGTGGCAAGATGAGAACCTAATATTACTTAGTTACTAGCAATTTGCTACATGGGTAAATTTTGTCTTCAATTTTTCTAACCTTTATTATGTTTGATGTTTGAAAGAGTAATATAATAGGTTAGTTCATATTACTTTCACAATTTCATTTTATATGCACAGCAGTGGCAATGCAATTGGATTTTTGTCTGTTGGACCAAAAATATAATGTATTTTGTTATACTTTGTATTTGCATTTTACCTTTAAATATTATTTAGTTCCAGTACAAAAGATATGCAATTTAACCAATTAGATGTAGTTTTGTTAATTGTCTTAGAATAAAAATACCGAAACAGTTTCTGGACATACAGTATATATTAATACATCCCAATTCATAGGATAATAACTATTATTGGTGTAAGTGCTCACAGTACACACTAGTATTAAATGTTATAATTAAAAAATGCCTAGAAGTATACATATTTCCTTGATGGGTTCTCTTTAAAATTAATTTGTTCCGAGTGTTTAACATCTGCCCAATGAAACCCTTTGGATGTAAATTAATCTGTTTTAATCCATATCAAAATGAACTCAAAATATATGTAATCATTCTAACTGCTATACCAGTAGACAAGCTTGATTTACTAAAACACCAGAAGGTCTTTTAATTCATGCTTCATACATTTAATTCGATCTTAACATATCAGTTGTATGAGAAATTCAAAATCATAAGGAAAGACTAATTTCTTCAGTAAAGTTCCGCTCAAATGTAACTGAAGTTGCTCAATGTGGAAAAGCTTCAAACTATTCAAATTATAAATTCAAATTATAGCAATGCTGATAATAATTGAGATCTATGCAACACTTTCTTACAGTATTGGATATTAACTTTATAATATTTTTATTAGAAAGTGTAATGCCCTACACTTGATGATTATGTTGGCTTCTGGTGGAATTCCCCTTTAAATTGTAGGGGAAATCAGAAGACTCAGGACATGGGCCTAAACATTCCACATTGCTTGAACCTTACAATGAGGTTATTGTGCTTTGAATGTATAGATTAAAATGACTTTTTCCCTCCTGGCACTGTGACATTTTCTTAACACATGTCAAACGTTTATCTTTATGTTCTCTTTACTTCAAAGTATCTGCCTTACGTTGCTTTCATAGCCGGTGAAAAGAAGGATTCAATCTGAATACTCAGTGCCTCTCCAATAGATATTGTTGTGAAAGTTTAAAAGAGCACAGCATGTGTTCAGCAGTCGCCTGGCCGTGATGTTTGTAGGGCAGCTAGGATGCAGACAGGCATTCCAATCTTTTGACAAATGTTCCCTTCTCCGTTTACCTGAGCTGTCACCCTACACCTGGTGGAGTGTATAGTGGAGCGCTAATTTGTGAAAATAAAACCTGCTCTTTGTACCATATGAAAAACCACATACAAAGAAGAATGTCAGCTGAGAGCTTGAGGAAAACGTCCAAGCCCTTTTACGGAAAGATCTACATTTCCAGTGTCTGAAATGAATCAGCTCTGTATGATGTTTCTCTCTTGACATTGCTTTATTTGTTTTTTATTATATAAACTATGCACTTTTATAAACTATAAACTGAAGCATTAAGGCATTTATGTTAATATTCTGTACTCTACCTGGGGTTGTGATCTGGTAGAGTGGTCACTCAGGCAGCTTGCAGTACAAGCCTTGAATTGTTATTATTATTATTATTATTATTATTATTATTATTATTATTATTATTATGTTCCACTTCTTTTTTAAAAAACAGGATATTTTTAAATAAAGGATGCCTTCACTTCACTCACTGGATACCTTATGATGAAAATAAGTTTTTAAAGCAAAGCACAAAACAGTATACAGTAATGCCAAAACAATATAATTTAAAAAGCAGTTTACTCTTTACCTACGCCAAATTATTCCTTTTACTCTTAAAAGATATAGAGAACTCTTTGCACTAGAGAGCTTAGCACATTTTCTGTTTCTTATTTATTCAACTGTTAACAGTTTTCTAGTTTTAAAGTGTAGCATATTTTAAACTGCAGCTTCTGTGAGTTTTGGCAGCTGCTGCTTCCTTTCAGACGAAAGAACAGTTTGAAATATAAGGCTTTCAGCTGATGTTTTTAAAAGGTTTTTTATTTTACATGTACTTACATCATAAACTGAATTGTAAAATATTAAAATTTCATAATGATTTATTAAGTCTGTTATTAAGTGTCACCAATGATTTGCAAAAAAATAAACACAATGTAATTTCTTAAATTCTTCTCAAATATATGTGTATAGCCAAGTGCTTCTTTTTTCAGTAAATTAAGGGGTATAGTAATACCACAGCATTTTCATGTAACATTGATTTGAAGGTTGTTTTCTTTCCAAAAATGGCATTTTGACCACACTTCAGTTATACAATTTCTTCTTTAAGTCTGTCATTGCAGAATACAGCAAGCTTCTTCCAGAGGAAACTGGGATTAAGTACATTAAGGATTCACAGAATGGTTCTTCACTTTCAGAACATGCATCATGCATCACTTGATGCATGTTGGGCAATGTTTGGGAACATTTACAGTTTACTTTCTTTTTATATTATCATCAGTAAAAAAGCAAATAAATGACAAAATACAGCATTTTAAATAATAACATAAAAGTGCTAAATAGCTAAACAAGCTAAAATGAAGATATAGTTTCATGAAAAATTCTGAATACACAGAGATGCAATGCTGGCCCAGTATGTATTTTGTCTCCCAGTGTGAGTTTCAGGGAAGAGAGACATCTGACAACACCATGCAAGGATGTCTGAACATTCACCAGAAGTGTGGAAACATGTTTCAGTGAAGACACTCCCATCTTTTTTCAGAGATAAACCTCCTCCAACACCTGTCCTTTCAATACCCAGCTTAGTGAATGACTGGGACCCCTGGACCAGTGCTCCTTGACCCATTCTTGGTCCAATTAATGTAACTGGTTTTCTGTCCACAAACAACATATAATTAATGGAATTTTTCTGAGTGGATGCAATCCACAATTTACAATAGGTATAATATTAAGAGTGAATGACATTATTTTCCTCAGAGGAAAGGAATTCTGTTTTTGATAGAGGAGGGTTGTCTTGTTTCTGATATTGCTTTCTGGGGGAAACAAAAACTAACCAGTAGCATTACTGCCTTGCAGTGCTGGGGTCCTGGGTTCAATTACAGACCTCGGGCACTGTCTGCTTGGAGTTTGTATGTTCTCCTCATGTTTGCATCGGTTTCCTCATACAGTCCACGAACATACTGGTAGGTTAATTGGCCCTGGAAATGTGGCCCTGGAGTGAGTGTGTGCATGTCTGTGTTTGCACCCCTTGGTTGTCGGGATAAGTTCTATTGTGACTGTGAATTGGACAAAGCAGCTTGAAGTTGGATGGAATAACAAACCACCCAAAGATTATTCTGAAATACCATCACCAGAACTATTTGGAAAACCAAATGAGGGGATGTTTCTTCTGACTGATTTCCAACACTTCAGAGATTCTTTGTTTACAGCTAAAATTTGTCAGAGTTGTGACAGTAATTTAAGTGATTTACTTCTTCACCAAATGTTAGTCCTTTAGGGAACAATGATAAGATTACATGATCCTCAAGCAGGACAGTGCCATGCTACTGAATGGTGTTGTCAGAGGGTGAGAAATTATATTGAAGGTGTTAGCAACTAAAATTGTATTTTGATTTGTAACACCAGTTATAAAGAAAACGATATGAGTAAAGTGGATGTCATAAGAATTAAAAATGAAAACCACCAAAAATACCAAATATATTTTGACTAACCCAGATTCAGTTAGGGTTACTCAAGAAAAAACTTTCCCCAATAATGTTTCAGCTAATGAACATATCATTGTTATTTAGTTTACTGATGAGTGTTTTTGTACTATTAAATTTTAAATACAGACAGTAATGTATTATCTGTCTGTACTACTGCCAGATATATTTCTAATTGAAAATATAGTTTTAAGATAGAGCACCTTTGTATAGAGTGAGATATGTCAAAGAACTTTACTTAATATTAGGCGAAGTTATATATTGTATATACACAGCTGAAAAGTAGGTCATTCACGAAGTACAATTCAAAACGCAATTTACAATAATAACAAAGACAAAAACTCCAGAATTTCTAGCCTTCTGTACAAAGGTTTTGTCAACAAGCGGCAAAACCCGAACTGTCACAACTAAAACCAGCTAACTTAAAACACTTTTATTGGTAACTTTTCGTCATTTTCTGCTACAACTTAAGTAAACACTAACGAAAATACCGGTTCTAAGTACAAAAAGCAAACAATTGTGAACTCTTAAGTGATAATATATTATCAGCGACTGACGTGGCGTTGGTAACGAGAAAGGGGAGTACTGTTTGATCCCCATCAAGTTCACTGAGGAGGATGAAAAGCGAGCCCAGCCTCCTCAAACGTTACTGGTGAGTCTGGTGAGCTCTCCTTAAGTCCGTGTCCGGAGTCCGGGGACCAGCTGAGCGACTGAAGGCGCAGTCACGTGATACTGTCTGCGCCATATTCCAGAAGCTGAGCTGTAACTGCAGCGCGAGGCAGGGGAAAGGAGCAACTGGAACAAAGTTTGTGGCCAACTCGCAGAAAGCAAGCGGTAGTATTTTTCTGTTTATTAAAAAAGTGTGAAAGTATCTGGAATTCAAACGTCAGACGAAACGACTTTTTGCAAAGCATCCTTAAATGCACTTTCAAGTATTTTTTTTTTACAAAATTATTGCTGTTGTGGAAACCAGGGACGGATATTTGCATTGTGCATGGTTATGTATGTGGAGAACTTGGCTAGTATCATCCTCTGTTTTGCGTAGATGCTCTTTGGAAATGTCTTAAGGTAAAGGTCTTGTTCTAAACAACAAAACTTGCTTTACTCTGTACTTTTCAGTTAAATTTATTTCAAGTATTTCTAAGTTACCTCTAGTTTTCCATCAGGCTAAGGTCAGTAAAATTTAGAAGTCATTTAAGGAGATGTGTATATTTTCCTTGTTGCATTTTGTTGCATTCCTAGTACCGATCGTTTTTAAGTAAGGGTAGCTTAGTTAAGAAATCTAAAGGCAGACCAACGGAAACCTTAAGATTAGAAATAACGAACGTAAGAGTCGTAGTCCTTTATAATATTAAATAGAGCCCGCCAACAGTGAGAAACACTTTTATATGTATTTTTCACTGGGGTTGAAAGTTGACAATTTGGTTTATTGTGGAGACATATTTGTTCATAACAGTTTTGTGCAAAAAATCACCAAACGTTCAAAGAGTGACAGCAGTGCGCTTTTGTATTAGGATCATCGCAGGAACTACCTGCTGTTAGCGTTATGTATTCCGAATAATGAATAATGTGTTTAGTGGGGCTTGCTGTTGTAAAGTAGTACCTTAATTCCTGTTTTTATGATTAACACAAAAGCTCTTGAGTTTCGCCTGTGCTGAGCTCAAAGTTAAAACTTGAGTCAAAGCCCCTTAATAACCTGCGGTGACGATTGACTTCTCCGCCTGCTCAGACTACCTTGTTTTGTATTGGGCGTTTTTCAGGGAACTGCGATTAAAAATGGTTGAGAGGTACGATTTGACGTCGAGCTTGAGCCGTGTTGACATTTGTGTAACCTCGCTCCATTCCTCTGGCCATGCACGGAAAAGCCTTTCCTGCGATGCCAGTCACCGGCGAGCTTGAATGGGCTCGACAAGGATCTGAGAGCACTGCCAGCCCCTCCCAGAGTAAGAATGTTGACGACGTGGGCGCTCGGCTTGCCTAGTGAAAGTGCGGTCTCTGTAACAATGTGACTTCTACATCCAGATACACAGTAGTGTCCAATACGTTATGGAACCGAGTTTATTTTGTTTAGCTCGCCGTTTTGTCGGCAACGTATTATCAAATGAGTGGAAATTTGTTTCCAGCAACAGATTGTTGACGTTTCGATATAACTCGTGAGACATTGGTTTTATGGACTACGATTATTGCCACTAAAAACGAATGAAAATATTGTGTATTTTTAAAGAAAGGTTTAAGTGCATTCATAATTAAATTTAGTTCTTTTACATTAATTATAAATTTAAACATAGAATGTCCGCACAGTTAGGTGAGGCTGCTTTCATGAACAGCTATGAGGTGTTAATTTCTTTTTTTAATTGTTTTTCATATCATTTGTGTTTTCCCAGTAGACTTCTAATACTTTTTTTATGCTTTGTCTTCCAGTATTTGAAAGTCTGGTTATTTGTGTATTTATACTATTTGTATTGAAAATTAAAAATAAAGTATTGTAAAGGGTTAAAAAAAATTTTTGGGGGTTCATCGCACACTGCCTCATTACAAGGCTGAGGTCTTTAGGTATTCTAAGCTTATTGTGCTTTCAAATGTGTGAGCATAGATGTGCCTTCATTACCATAAGTGAAAGAGGTACTGGTAGAGTGTTTTGTGTTTGCTCAAGGTCACTAGGCACTGGTGAAGCATTTAACTGAAGAGCCCACACTACATTATTATAGCTGGGGGTGATCTCTGCCTGGTTTCACTAATGGCATAGTCTTGAATGGTAAATCTAGCCAAACAATAAGTATGAATTGTTTTATGTGACAAAATTAAATGGGAGCTTTCCACCAACCCCCCAAACAAATCAGAAAATGACTTAATTACTGTGCAGAGTACATTACTGGATTCCTTCCAGAAAGCAGTTTTTCAAATGCCTTTGGTCTGTCCCAGGAGTCGGCCGGTGGTCTTGTCTAGACAGGCCGCATAGGGGACAATAGCTTGTGTTTTGTCATCACAAGCGTCAAAAAACGCTTTTATAAAATTTTCCGTTTTTCATTATGTAGAACTGGAAGGTCTAAACAGGTGATATTGTATCGAGTGTGTATTGAGTCATATTAGGAATGGCCTTGTGTGTCAGGCTGTTTTCAATGACAGCAGTGTTTATACAGTCTTGATTCTTTCATTGGCATACTTTCAGATACCTCTGTGAAACAAAGAACAATAGCTTTTAAAAAAAAAACTTAGTCCCCCACCACTGGGGGATAAGTTAAATAAGTTCCCTCCCTGGATCACTTCCTAACATTTCGGGAATTGCCAGATTCAGGATTCATAGGGAAGCAGACCAACAATAAAGCTCTTGCAGAGCACAAAGAGCAGTAACATTTATATCTTATTACTCCTACAGTTAAAAAACAAAACATGCCAAAAACTCTTGATGAAAAGGAATCCTGAGAGCTTTTTTGAAGGGCTTGTGTGTGGACAACGTGGTTTTGAGAAATGAGAATCTGTTTGCCTTGGGGTGTCTTTTTTTGTGCCACAGTACATGTTAATGATAAATTAGGGTCACGTCCTTCTGTGCATTAATCAGTCTCTCTTTAATTTCTCCAGGTGTTTCATGAAGAGTATGTGAAGTTTTGTTTTTTTGCAACAAGACTCCGGAGTTGATTTGATCCTTTAAAAAAAACAACAGGATTACAAACTTTGACAAGGAGGAGGCTTGAAGGACATGGCCAAAGTGGGAACAAGTGATGAAAACCCTGATGGTGCTGCCAACAGTGAATTCAGTGACATAATCAAGTGGAGATCAGGTAGGCCCATCCATTCTTGTTCTCTTTGTTGAAAATTGATCATGTTTTAACGTTTTAACGTTTTCATGCTTATGCGGAATAAGTTCATTCCTTGAGAGGAACAGAATTTATTCGCTGTTTGCTCTCAATTAGCATACAAATACCAGTTCTTCACTCAAGCCAGATTGAAGAGAAGACTAGGAGCAACTGACAGAGCTTCTCTTCGGATAAACGTCACTCAGTCGTTTCACAGCTGGTAGATGGTAAATATAATGGATACAGAACAGCCAGGGGCAAGAAATGCATTTTTCATTACCGATACACTTACTCTATGTCAGTACAACGGAAAACATCATTAAAGTTATACGTCTTGCAGTTCTTTGCTGCTGTCCTTAATTTTGGCTACAGGAAACCAAAAAAAGTTACATGATTTTTAAGTAGCAAATGTTCCCACTGGTACACCGTGCTAAATGCACACATGGGTCCATCCTGTCATGTGAGCCGTGTGAGGGATTGTTATCACTTTTAATCTTGCCAGGGGAACAAAAGTGTTTTTTTTTATTTAAAGTAAGTTGTGTGAGTTTCGCCATTTGACAGAAAACCCCTCCTGAGCAGGGATCTGTGAAGGTGAAGCGGAGATCGTCTGGGCTGACCTCTCTCCTCACTGAAGAGTCTGCTGCACGCAGTGCAATGTGTGCGCTGGACAGAGGGTCTGTGCCGACACACATGCTCTTCATTAAGTCTAACAGCTGATTGTTATGATCAGGCTGGATTTATGGATGTTAAATGTAGAAAGACATAGAGATAAAGTTGGATAGTTTAAATAATAATATTAACAAGAGGACAGTGCAGATACTGTTTTTTATGATTCAAACAGTTTTTCAACTATTCCATCTCTTCAGTCTGAACAAACATCAAACAGGTCGAGCTATGATACTGGGACTTCGTGACTTGTTGTACCGAAGGGTAAGATAGCTGCAGTCATAAGGGTATGAAAAAAAACAACAAATGAGAGGAGACCTTTTAGCTGATAGTGCTAATTAATGTGAGGATCATATCTGGTGGTATCCTGAGAGATATGGAGTCTTCTGGAAAAGCACAGCTGGGCAGCCCGTTCCTCACATGCGCTTGGAGTACTTCCTTTTCTTGAATGCCCTACCTCTTGATTTTTTTAGTTCCTGGGTTCTTGTTTCGTTATTGATCCAGAAAAGGCACATAGGATCTAGTCTGACAATTCCTTTCAGAAATTTGAATTTTTGTTAGTCGCTCTTGATTTCTGTTGTTTGAGGATAAAGAACTTTAGTTATTTTGTACTGCTTGCTTTTCATACCTTTTAGACTTCAAATACCTCTTCTTTATTCTCTCAAGGGTAGCATCCTTTTTGTATTATGTTGTCAGTGAGGTCTGCAGTTATTGCATAACCTTAGCACAGTGTCCTTTGATTTAAACCTGGCAGTTTTCAGTTTTCAGTATGTATTGTAGCGTTTTGTTGGCCTTTTGTATGGCTTCCATATGTTTGAAGAAGAGGACAAGTCACTTTGTGAGCTGGCATGTCCAGGTGGGTGAAAAATTGGAATTACTTGAATATGAGGGAGAAACAATACGTCTCTTGTGGCCACATCTTGTGCTAAAAGACTGGTTTTCTGCCTCTTTAAATAACACTTAAGACATCTGTTACCATTCAGAACTATATTCTTCTTTGGCTGCATGAAAATCAAATACATCAAACATCAGTATGGAAACTGGATATTAAGCTTTCTCTTATTTTGTCATTAAATCTACATTATTTGGCCTTTTTGTAACATCCACAAGTTTTTACCTGTCACTATTGTTGTGGCAGACTGTTAAAGTTTGATGAGGGGATGAGTATGCTCTGCAAGCACTTTACAACTGTGTGTTCCAGGTAAGTTCTGTAAGGTCTGCAGAGTTGGAATACTGCAAATCTCAAGTCTAAAATATAAACCAGTTAAAGAAATGGAGATGCATATTAAGACAACTCTCTATTAAGTAATAATAGGCTTCTTAAAGTGGGTTCACCTGTTCAAAAGGTTCAATATTTGTAAATTAATCTTCCAGACTACGATGTAACCTGCAAATGAAAGCTCCATCCCTTTGGTAGTAACAGTGATAGATGAAGCCTAAGAGATGTTGACTTACTGAGAGATGTTTGATTAGATATCAGGAGAATATTGGCTGACACTTAATACACATTTTGTAGGCACAGCTCCCTTTAATGTTTGATTTATAGTGATTAAACTCTATTTATATTTGCCTGTTCTTATGCTGACATCTATTTCTCAATTCTACAATTAATAGACGTCACTTTGGTTTGTGTGCAGGATTACAATATAGTTTTTTTTTTACCACAGATTTATCAGTAATAAAAAAAAGGGCAATTTAAAATTAACTTCCTTTAAAAAAAAAAAACAACTATTTGTGAAAGGCAATTGATTGTGATATATAGTCGATACAATGAAAAAAAATTTAGAAGGAGAACACAACATCGTTATTTAATAGCCCTAACAATATGCTTTCATTAAAGTTGACAAATTTAATTCCTGCAATGGAATTAATTAGTTTTGAATTGTTGTAGTAGGGTTGGACATTTTTAAGAGCAAAAAGAAAGGTAACATTTGGATGTCTGTAAAACAATTATTTGAAGAAGCAAGAAACTTAACTCCTGTGATTGCAAGAGTGTTGTGCTCCAGACTCTTTTCTAGCTTCCAGGTCTGTCATAACATTTTTGCAGCATTTTCTATGTGGAAGTTTGCATTTTAAAACAAGAAACCATCTAGTGGTGTTGCATTCAGTTTAAGGCTTTGGGGTTGCTAGGCATTCCATAGACTTTGGGAAGCTGTTAAATTAATAACATTCAGAAATTGCCACTCCGGTTTTAAAGAAAGTAGTTAAGCAAGTTTTTGTCAGCTCAGGTATGCATTATGATTTACTTGACAACAGGCCAGGCAGAAGAGCAGGTAAAAAGAAGAGTTAGTTCCACTTTGTTCTGTTGTTATACAGATAATATTTTTTTACGAGAAACTCACTCTGCTGCATGTGGTTTGTCATTTGTGCTCTTAGGGAATGAGTTTAATCTGGTAGTTTTTTTTTAGGCTGTTTCAAATACAGTATGTAAAGCTGTTCATATTGGGGGCTTTGCAATGCTTTCTAAAACAAAGTGGATTCATTGTATGTTAAATTTTTGGGACAACTGCACAATCTTGCACAAACTCTTATCAAGGTGTCACAGTTGTGCAAGCTTTGGACATTCTGATGTCACGCAGCTTTGGCTGAGTGTTGCTGTGTCCACATAGTCCTTATCTGCCATATTTCTTATGTGGGGTTTCCTTAGGTTTATGGTCAGGTGTCACTGATCTGTGGAACAGTTTCAAAATGCCTTAATTCTGCTTATTCTCAATGAGTAATAATGAAACAACCACAATATTCAAGTTCTGTAGAAGTCTTTGTCGTCTTCACTGTATGATCTGTAATTATTGAAACATTTCATAACTGTACAATCCTTAAGAATAAAAGCCTTACCTTTTTGGGGGTGGGTAAGGAGCTGGATTTTCACAGACAGTTGTAATTTGTTTTGAGAGTTTGCAGGGCTGAGAGGATATGCAGTGTAAATTAAATAGTTTTTAAAGCACTGCCCATTTCCAGTAGTGAGTGGAAGAGGATGGCTCAAGTGCCAAATGGGATAATTAACTAAATCACATAAAACAGCTGAATTGTAATTTATTAATCCATCCACTAAAGAACATGCCATGTATGTTTTCAGTTTACATTAATTTTTAAAGAAATACATATTTTTTTAGTTCCTCTTTCTCTGCAGGTTGATACGAATGTTAATGGAAGTGCTAGAAAAAAAGTGATGTAGCTCAGCAGGCAGTAGCCAGTTGAGAACACTGGCAAGTCCCTTCTGCTCACCACCATTGGGGTTGTTTTTACAGCTGAAGACGGGCTCCTAGGGTCTTCTCAGTGTGGTGCCTTCCATGCCTTTGATCTGTTTGGTAGCTGGAGTTGGTAAAGGGCTCAGGGCCTTTTCCACAAACACAGATATGCTGTGTTTGTCACGTTGACCTCCAAGGAATGTGCTGAGGCATAAGTGAAAACTAGGCTTTCTTGTTAGCAGGTGTTACTTTTCATTGTTTGTAAGCAAGACAGTGTTGTCAGGAAGTCATCCTAAACAAACCTGCTTCACTGACATTGTGCAAGTTTTTGTTTTTTGTGTGCATTTGACTTGAATAGAAATACTGATCGCTTGCTGTCATTTAACTGTGTGCATGGGGGGTAATCTCACATTTTTGGTTAATTCACAATGAATTCAGTGTGATTATATAATTTTGATATGATGCTTTGTAGCACAAACATGTAGAAGTCATATGAACCACTTCCACCACTCTTCCGTTTCTAGACATCCACTTGTCTATCAACTACCCCCGACTGTCCACTTCAGTTTACTACAAACCCACGGATTCACACAGCTACCTCCTGTACAGCTCATTTCACCCCAACCACACTAAAAACTCTCTTCCTTTTTCACAGTTCCTTAGGTTACGACGATTATGCAGCGACGACATCGACTTCGAAAACCAAGCCCTCGAAATGTACTAATTTTTCATCAACAGAGGATACCCCAGCAGTGTGATTGACAGGGCCCTTGCCCGAGCCAAAAACACCCCCCGGACCATCAACCCGATCAGGAACTCCCGCCGTAACAACCGCATTCCTTTGGTGCTTCCTTACCACCCTAACTCACTTCCTATCCCCAGGATCATTAACCAGAACTTTTCCATCCTACAGGATGATCCCTCCATTGGGGCCCTCTTTTCTGATCACCCTATCATCTCATATCGCCGACCACCTAATCTGCATAACCTCCTTGTTCACAGCTCCCTTGACCGCCCTCAGCAACCATCCACACCAGGCACTTTCCCTTGCAACAGAGCTCACTGTATCACCTGCAAGTACACAGCCACCACCACACTCATTCAAGGCCCCTCAGGACAATTCCGGATCAC